GAGAACGGAGAAATGGTCGGGGATGTTTTTGAGGAGATGAACGTAGCGCCAAACGTATGAAGCCTCCAATGTATCCACACGAACTTGCTCCGGAGTCCTAGATTAAACTTGTGCTAGCAAGTTTAATATAGGATAGTAAAAACTATAATAATACTACTTTGGGAGTAATAAATATATAGTAAAAATATTGATCTTATAAATATTTCTTTATAATATTTTGTGTATATTACTCGATTCCACCCAAGAACAACTTACATAAATTACTAGCTATAATAAGAAATTTACCTTAACGGTGAAAAATGGAGAACGGAGAAATGGTCGGGGATGTTTTTGAGGAGATGAACGTAGCGCCAAACGTATGAAGCCTCCAATGTATCCACACGAACTTGCTCCGGAGTCCTAGATTAAACTTGTGCTAGCAAGTTTAATATAGGATAGTAAAAACTATAATAATACTACTTTGGGAGTAATAAATATATAGTAAAAATATTTATCTTATAAATATTTCTTTATAATATTTTGTGTATATTTCTAATACTTTAGAAAAATAACTTGGAACACAAAATAATATTTTCTCCCCTTTCTCTCTCTATGGCCGAAATTTAAGTCCTAAAAATGGGGAGGGATTTTTTCTCATTTTATAATACATTTGTAACACCCCGGCCCCCACCTTAGCCGTAAGTGTCTGCTCATAGGATTGTAGACTGGCCCCCACAAACCCAACACATGTCTTTCCCGCACACTTTGTCCTCACTCATGCGCGCCCAAGTAAAACTTCCCAGGGGATCACCCATCCTAAAATTGCTCCAGGTCAAGCACGCTTAACTTTGGAGTTTTTAGGTGATGAGCTCTCGAAAAGAAGATGCACCTTGTTAGTATGAGTAGTACTATCAATCCTTTTGAGCTCTTCCCATTCCCATCTTGATACGGGGTATTACAACATTTCATTAAGGAATTTCTAAGAAATTACTTAGGGACAAAAACAAATTAGGCTTAATTCATTGTTCCCAACCAACACAACAAGAGAAATATACTTTTGTTAATCAATCAAATATTTGATTATAAAATCAAATATATCATTAGGTGGAATATCAAAATATGTTTTGTATTTTTCCCTTTGATATTTTCGGCCAGCCTAATTTAAAAGCACATTACATTTTATTTTGACATCAATAATTATCATATAATTAAAATGATGAAAATTAAAAAATAATATATATATATATATATATATATATATATATATATATATATATATATATATATATATATATATATATATATATATATATATATATATATATATATATATATCCGGCGAGGGAGATTCCCATTTTTGAGAGTCCGATCTTGGACTCTTCATCTTACAGCTTGGACTTTTTTGCTGGTTCCCATTTTGGAGAAATTCCGATTGGAAATTCGAACCTGTGTACCCGGATTCTAAAGCTTGGACGATAGCAGACACCAAAGTTGCAAGCCTCAATTGCGAGTCTCAAGTCCTTCAGATCGAAGACCCGCCTTCATGGCGGTGCCTCAGCCGCATCCCGATGACTTGGCGAAGCTCTCCGGCCATGGTTCCGGATGACGGGAGGAGGATCAGTGCTCACTTCAAAATTTGAACCTGAATGTGCAGCGGGTCTCCATTCCTACTCTCACGCAGCTCCAACCTAAAATTGGGGAAGACCGGAGAGTGGAGTGGGGGACATTATCTCCTCCACCGGAGTTGAGTCAGTCGCACACTGACTGGGAGCGGTGTCCAGATTCCGGCGAAGACCAGCAATAAGAATAGAACAGCGATGAAGTGGTCTTCAATCTCGTCACACGCTCCGATCTGCCTACGCTCCAATTTTTGCTCCGGGCCTAGCTCCAAAACCGCAGGTCTCAAAGACACCATCAACAAACCAAAATTTTCCAAAAACAGAGAAGCCAATTGGCGGGGTGAAATCAATTTGTCACCGGAATTGAGCATGCCTCTACCTCCTCCTTGCCGGTGGGAGCTTGCTCACAGCACACCCACGGCCTGATGCCATTTTCTGCATGGGAGTTGAGTTCGCTCCTCCACCACTGCTAGATTAGCACGGCTGTTGAGAGAATGGGTTTCCCATCCCTTTCACTAGAGCTCAACCGGCGGCAGAGCTTGCAGCTCGTGAAAGGGCTCCCTCCATGATCGTTCTTCCAACCGGCGGCAGGGCTCACAAATCTGTCAAAGATTTTCTCTAAGGGCAGATGAGAACTCGCCGGTCATTCTTCGGATCTGAACTGAAGATTCTGTGTCGGGGAGGCTTTTACGCTCCGGAAATGGCTCGGCGTGGGCCGCAGATCTGTTCGGTTGGATTTAGTGACGGAAGCAAAGATCCGATTTTTTTTAATGCAGATCTAGAGAGAGGAGCAGCAGTTTTCTCCGCTAGTGGCCCTTCAATTATTCAGCTCTTCATCTCCCTGTTCTCTTTTGGATGAGAGTGGAATATGGGAAAGAGTGGGCCTACTCTTATTGCTATATTTTATATGGGAGCTTTCTTAAAGATGGATCCCAAGAAGGTGACGAGCACTTTATTTTTCCCAATCTAGGGATCATATGCTTCCACAAGAAGGTTAGTTAGAAGTATCATTCTCCCATTAGTTTTACATGTTAGTGTGCTCCTATTTCCTAAAGGAAAGGAGGGACTGATTCAATACTAATCGATGGCCTGTAAGTGAGAGAAATCCCTCAAAGTGGCATTATTATTATGCTCATCTAGATACAACAGGACCAGATTTAATGTTTAGACCAGTGATAGGGGATACATGCTTAATTCATATTCTGTACAAAATTTGCTGCATCTCTATTGGAATTAACGCATGGCGTGTAGGGCTGGATACGGTACCGGTTCGGTACCGTCACCGGAAACGGTACCACCGGTACCGAGCACCGTAACGGCAACCGGGACAGCGAAACGGTTCCGAGAACCGACACTGGTACCGCCACATCCGGTCTCGGTTCCGGTGCCCCAAAATCGTTACCGGCACCGCCGGTACCGGTGCCGGTTCCGGTACCGTTTTTTTTTTCTCCTTTTTGCTCTC